CTCTAGCCCGGACCTAGCCTCCATGGCGTGCACACCACGGTCCCGGGAATTTCTGCCTCTGGTGCTCTGCCTCCAGGAATGATCTCTGGCAGCCAAGGTACTGATCATCTAGTTCAGTTGGGGTGGAGTCTTAGTGAGAATATCCCCTCCTGGGCATAAAGACTCAATCACCCTCTGGCTTTCTGGAGAGAGAGTGCTGTAGAAGTTCCCCACGGTGAATGCATCACAGAAGCCATGATGGGGACACTACCAGAAAAATCCCGAGTACCGCTCCCATGCATCACGAAGTGACTCATCTGGCTCTTGGCGGAAGTGAGTGATCTCCCGCTGAATCTCTGTAGTCTTCGATGCCTGATAGTACCTGTGCACGAACTTGTTGGCCAGATCGTCCCAAGAAGTAATGGACAATGGGGGCTGGGTCTCCAACCACCTCTTTGCATGCCCCACCAGAGAATGGGGGAAGAGGCGAAGGCGGATCGCATCATCGGGTACACCATTCATCTTGAACCCGTTCGTCAGCTGCAGGAAACGGGAAAGATGCACCCTTGCCTCCTCATCCTTCAAGCCATGGAACTGGATAGAGGATGTAATGAGTTGAATCCAACATGGCTTGATCTCGAAGTTGTTCGCTGGGATGGGCGGATAGAGGATGACAGGGCGGATATCAGCGACCCGTGGAGTGTAGTAGTACTCCAAGGTGGGATCCGGCGGTGGTGGTTGATGATGAACCCCATCTGCCTGGAGTATTGGGTTGTTCCCCAGGATCTGGTTTACCGGGGGAACCTGGAGAGGTATCCCATGGGGCGGGTTATGTTCACCTTCCATCTCGTACTCGTCCTCGGAATCGCTGCTCAAGTGGCCGTCTATGTGCTCCTCCGTAGCCAGTCTAGCTCGCTGTTGTCTGCTAAGTTGGCGACAGGTGCGTTCAAGCTCCAGATCCAACGGCAGTAAACCTTTCGACTGGCTACGGGTCATGCACTGTAACACCCTACCCTGTACGTTTTGCCTAATCATATTGTTCATACATTTTCAGCGGAAATAATCTCGGGTGTTACATTAATTATCAAAATTTACCCAAATAAAATTTCGACATGAATTACTCGCGTAATGGGCTAACAGTTCTTGTAACTAAAACCTGCAAAATTATTTATCGCAAACATATATACTAACAACCATATACATGGACTTTCATAGCCATAGTCACAGTTTCATCTACACAACTGCATACCAAACTTATACATACCATAATCGTCACAAATTACACAGTTACACAACATATACACATATCATCAACTTTCCAAACCTGTGGATATCTCATACTACATCAGAAGCTAGTATGCACATGAAAACGTTCTCAAAACATTTTTACAAAAGGTGTGGATCACTGGCCAAAATCCCAATTAGTAGTCCAAGCACAGAATAGTTGAAGACCATACCTCATCTTGCCTTCAACTCTTGCTCAGCTCCCACCTATACACCTATCTACTGCTGCTGCTGATGATCTGCTTACACATAGCATAAGCAGAGAAGAAGAATAAAAGAGGGTCAGCTCATAGCTGAGTGAGATAATCATAGCATCGTGAGTTCATAACAGAGCATACCCCTACCATACATCTAGCAAACAAGCCAAAGCACTGGGATCAGATCTCAGCCCTCCAACATCCCAATAGGCAAAAGACTCAACCACATTGACTTATGCATATGCATCTTATCATGTTTTAACATAGGCGCCTGGCTACTCCCATGCTAATAACTCTCCCGGGAAACATACCCCACATCCCGTAGGATGTAGTCATACATACCCCAACATCCCGTCGGATGTGGTCATACATACCCCACACCACTATGGGTGTAGTCATACCCCGACACCGCTCTGGGTGTGGTCATATCTCGTAAGAATTCTTCAGTCACCACCACATGAGAGGTGTGACTATCATACATATCATAATAGAGTAATAGCATAGGGAGCCCTAATTACTATGTAGTTGACCGTGAGACCACAACACTCATATTTGGTATCCTTGTACATGATTCATATCTCATCTTACTTAATCATAATTCATTACTTGCACATGTACTTGACCTGGCCACAATTGGCTCAACATAGGTAAATCAGGAGTCGTATAATTGCACTTCCTTGGGATAAACCCTCGTGCAAGTCATCCTCCTTAAACATCATAATATCACCCTGGAAGTTTATTTCCCCCACTTGTGAATCCAAAAACAACCACAATATCACATCATGTCAAAACACCTGATCGAACAGCCATGAAGTCATATCAACGGTTAAGCCACAAATGGCAACATGTATGCAATCATCAACATAAACAAGGTTCATATCGGCTAGGGCAAGTCAATAATATCATACAACAATCCATGGTTCATCATATAGCATAAAAGTCCATACACACCTAATCATGACATTTTAGTTCACCTAGGTCAATTCTAAGCATCAATATAATTATCGTGATACGACAAACCCGGTATGCCGTGCTAATCCCTCACCAGTTCTGGTCGTTCAAACACCGGTTTAAGCTTCCCGTACTAAAACATCAATTTCAGGAACGAACCTCGAATTAAAATCCGAGACCGTCCTAATATCCCCTGCAGTATCCCCGTCAATATTAGTTCTAGGCTCCGGGTCAAATTCTTGATAAAAACATATCAAACCCTGGCCGGAGCTAAATTCAGCGATTTGGACCTCGACCTAAATAATTGCCGAAATTCAAGGATTAGAACTAGAGGATTGATTACCTCGCTGCAGGAAGCTCGTATATGAAATTTGGACTTAATCCGGCTTCCAGCCCTTCTAAAGCCCTAATCCCTACGATTGGAGAATCAAGAATTTATTGGCCGAAAACTCAGTTATAAGCCAAGAAAACGATGACTAAGCCACACAGAAGGATTACCTAATGAAAGCTCAAATTTTGGATCACTAGAACCAGAGGATCAAGCTCGTCGATTTCCTCCGTACGTTCCTGTTCGTGCTCTCTGTTCTTCAGTTTATGGAAATGAGATAATGGAACCGAAGGAAAAAAGAAAGACTCATATATATAAATGAAATGGTTGGCGGTGCAATTCTATACTGCTTCACTATATTAAATTTTACTTGCTTTGCTTACTTTTTCTTTCCATCAGACACGTAACTAGTGTATAGAGATATATATAAATAAATATATAATATAATTAATACGTATATTTATCCGATCGATCGATAATCCGATTTTCGTCTAAATAGTGTCGAAATGCTCGATTTTAAATCGTGAAATTTTCTAGCGATCGAAATATGGGTTTTACCGGAATGGGATATTACATGCACTACCTGCACACAGTCAAGTAGCGAACCCGTGAAGGCACAAGTGGGACAAAGCAAACAAAGAATGCTAAAAAGAAAATCTAAATTAACAGAAACCACGTTTCTTAAACAACCTAGCCTTCCCCGGCAACGGCGCCAAAAACTTGACTCGCTATGGCATAACTCCTAACAATGGCCAAGTGTAACCAATGAAAGGGACTGTAGTATAGTGGCTCAAGTAATAAATATCGAATCCACGGGTCTCTAGAGTTACTATTACTCAGCTTCAGTTCATTATCTAGCAAACCAGATTAAGATGGAACAACTAAAACTACTCTAACAAACTACAGTTAAAGTTAATCTAATTACAGGTTGGGAACTCACTTAGGTATGATTCCCCCTAGCCACTAGCCAGATTAATGATTGATGATCTCTAACTTGTTTCAATTTCATTCACAATGCGGAGAATCCTTGACTAAACCTTGAATCTCAACTAAAGGATCAAGGCCCTCTTGAGTTAATTGCCTAGAGGGACGTATCCTTCTCTAGAACAACCGATCAAGGCGTTCTGAACTAGACTCCCTCTATCGAATGAGGTTCTCAATCGATACAAAGCAGTGAATCGACCCTCGACTAAAGCAATTGATCCAATACTATCAATCTATGGTGCTCTATTGACCTAATCAGGTATTCGCTCTCGTAGGATCAAAGCAGAATCACTAATCTCGACTAAAGCAGAATTGAATCATGATAACGTGCATAAATTGAATATGAACTCAAGATTATCAAGTAGGAGAACTCCTACAATCATCCAATCAAACAAACATAGCTAGGGTTCCTCAAAACCTAAGTGAAGGGAAGTTACTCCATAGAGAAGAGAGAGACTGCAGTAAGAATCTTCAGATGATCAGTCTTCAAGTCCGGGCTTGTTCCTCGAGCTTCCAAGGCGAAGAAATCCTTCAATTCCACTCCAAGAATTCCTTCAAATTGCCCTCTCTCTCTTTGGTTCGTCCCTTGGGTGTTTGGGATCCAAAACCCAGCTCTCCCTCTGCAAAAACGCACAAAACAGGCTTTTAACAGCCTGCGTTCGCGATCCCCGGTCGGGTATTTTAGGTGGCGACCGGGGATTGTTAAAACACACCGTCGAGGACAGGGGATTAATCCCCGGTCAAGGTCAAGAATACCCGACCAGGGATTTATGCTCAATGCCCGGGCCCCCTTCTGCTTCTCAAACGCCCAAAAGTGATTTTCCCCGGTCTGCTCAGATTAATACCCGGCCGGGTATTTGTGCTCATGGCCGGGTATTTTGCTCCTCCAGCACACTTCAACTCAAACGTGCTCCTTTCGTCCCGAAACTCGTTTCTTTGCCTCGATGCTAATGCCAAGCCCTGAAATATGATAAAAACACACAACCTAGCATGAAATCGGCTTAAAACACGAGAATTAATATCTCAAACGGCTCAAGAATAGGGGTAAAAACATGTGCAATTATAATGCATTTTGGAGACGACGCTGAGTTCACGGACGCGTTAAGATGTTCACGGTCGTGAACTGGCCAACGCGGCCATGAACTGGGCACTTTCGGGCAAATATAAAAACAGCAGCAGAAGGAAGAAGAGGGGAGAGCTGGTTTTTAGAGAAGGAACACTTTCTTTCTCTTGGGTTTCAACCCAAAACACCAAAGGGGAGTTCTAGAGAGTGAGAGAGTGATCTTGGAACTTTATAGAAGGCATTGATCAAGCTGGAAAGCAAGGAATCAAGCCTAGAAGAAGAAGATCTAGAGGTTCCTTTGTAATCTCTCCTCTCTCTCTCTAAAAACTCACCCTTTTCTCTTGGGTTTAAGAACCCTAGGTCTAGATTTGGGTTTAATGTTGATGTATGTGAAAAACTCCATGATTGATTGATGATTTTACTTAATTGGTGGATGTTTTCATCAATGGCATGAGTTGGGTTTCCATTTTCATGTATTGAGCTTTTGACCTAGGAGGGAGATAATCCCCTTAGAGCCCCCTTTTGGCGTCTTCGAGTCACTCCTATTGTATATTGTTCGGGTAGTCCAAGAGGGAGTTTATTCGACCGGTCTCCTAGCATTATATGAAACCTTAGGTTGAATAGAGCACTACCCATCCATCGATTCGCCATTCCGGGTCATTCCCGAGGGAGTCCATCTCCAAACGGTAGTGTATTTGAGCCGATCGAGCTACGAGGATACCCAACATCGATCCAAAGAATGGACCTAGGAAAATTCAACCCAAGAGAGCTCTCAACCTTGTAAATAGCTAGGTTAGTGGTTAGTCCAGGTTAGTTAGTTTAGTTTTATTAATCACTATCCTAGGTTGTCTAGATAACGAACCCTCAACCTGAAGTAGGGTAAGCCTAGATCCTCGTGGTACGGTAAATTCTTATTGCTTGCTTGCCCTATGCTACACCCGGTCGGCGGATATACTTGGCCGTCGATCGGGATGTTGTAGTTAGAACGAGTCAATTAGTCGCTATTGTACGGTGTGGAATGGAGTGTTGAAGAGAGTAAATGCATCACTGATGAGCGGATCCAATCAAAGCGACGTGGTAAGTAAAGTTCTTATGTGAAATCTGAATTTTTATGATAAATTTTTTACTTAATCAAGTTAATAGTTTTTTAGATTTTTTGAACTACTTCTCTATCTTGTGCTCATGCTCTTTTCAGAGCCCAAACCAAAATAGATTTTGAGTTCGCTGATTGTTGGGAAATACTTGAAAAGTGTCCGAAATACATGGAGCAATTCCATATCGCCGTAGGAGACGTTCCACCAATGGATGGTTCTTCATCATCCATACCATCCGGAGTTCAAGCAAGTGCTCATCCTTATGTGATTCGTCGTTCCGAAGGTCGAGATAAGCAAAAGAAGAACAAAAGAGGAGATGCGGATGGGCTTTCCAAAAGACTATACAGGATATGGCGGCAAGCAATGCAAGACATGATGCAATTGCTGAGTTGAGGGGGGCACACGAAAATGCGAGGGAGGAACGCGAGAAGGCGAAGGAAGCAAGGGAAAAGATTATGCACGAGGAGAAGATAATGAATATGGACTTATCTCAAATGAGCGCTCAAAATAGAGCATGGTACCAAAGGCAAAAGGATGACATTATGGCCTCCAACCAAGAGTATCCAACTTCAAGCCTAGGAGACGACTCATATAGCCCCATTCTATGACAATTGAGGGTCTTTGGGTTTATGTATTTTTTATGGTTTAGTTTTTATAAGCATGGTTTATTGTTGAATGTTTATTTTTAAGTACTTTGAATCAATGGTTTGATGTATGCTTCATTTTAGTGTGTTTTGAAATTATTAATCGAACTACTTTATTTATTAAAGCATTGAACAAGATACTCAAAAGACGAGAAAAATACAATGATCAAAATACTCAAAGGATAAAAACTAAATTTGAAACACAACATAAAGGGACATTAGAGCACATTGATTAAACTTCAAATACAACATATTCCTACTCCCCTCCTCCTTCTTTTGCCCACAGATGCTCAACCAAATCATCTCTCAATGAGTGATGTCCTTGACGATCACGAATTCTGCCATGACTTGCCTTGTAAGACATGAGTGTCGACATATCATGATCCGGTGGATCCACTGTGAAATCTGAATTAGTATCATATTGACCCATCATAGCCAATGCCTCTTCCCCATTGTTCTGTTGGTCTTCCACTATCATGTTGTGTAGAATAATACATGCTAGCATAATTTCTCCCATTGTATGCACATCCCACACACGACTTGATCCTATGATAATGACCCATCTTTCTTGCAGTATGCCAAAGGCTCTCTCAACATCTTTGCGGTATGCCTCTTGGCGTTTTGCAAACAACTTCTTTTTCTGGTTATTGGGGGCAGTAATAGTCTTCACAAATGTAGCCCATTCAGGATAAATCCTGTTATCTAAGTAATAACATTGATTGTAAGTGTGACCAGGAGAACTCATCCCATTGGTTGGTGAAGCATCATACCTCCATACATTATCATCACTTGTTGACGATGTCGTCGACACTCCTCTTCCCATTCCATGTCATCAGCTTCTCTACCAGGAGAACTCATGATACACAAGGAGTTGTTGTGTAGAAAGAAGTGGGAAGCTGAGATAATGTGAAGAAGGCTGAATGGTGAATGACCAAGTGAAGGTCTCATTTATAGGAACACGAAAAGATTCCTTCGCAACAATGTGATTAAGTTGGATGCACAGTTGACGGAACCACTCAGTTATAATTTAAAGTTCGATGAACAGTTGATGGCACAACTCACTCTGACTAAAGTTGGATGAACAATTGATGGAACAAGACATTATGTTTAAAGTTGGATGAACAATTGATGGAACAAGACATTATGAAAGTTGGATGAGTTGATGACACAACCCATTCTGACAAACATGTGATATATTGATGGTTAGTGGCACCAACTACTATATTTTCGTAATTGATGACGTCATATTTATTGACAAAAAATATCAATATTAAAAAAAATTACATCAAAATGTTTGTTTTAATTAATTATGACTAACTATATAAAAATCATTGCAAAATTTTATAACTAAAGCAAAGAAATGTACAATAAACTAACTAATAAAAAAATCACAAATACAACACTTTAGCATTTGGCTCTACTCCATTGGAGCAAAAGCACTTTATTGAGTGCCAAATTTGGCACTTTGGCCCTAATTATTAGCACTCCATTGCAGACGGTCTAAATATGTATTTACGATGTTTGTTCTATTCAGTCTATGAAGAAGAATATTTCAGTTATCTTTTCGTATCTTTAGGAGTAGTTGTAACGTAGTTTGTGGTAGATCATGCCATCAAGGAGATCCTCTACTCGATAGCGTCGAGAAACGTATCGAAAGTTCGTGTGCGTAGGTTTCAACCGGGAAATCTATGTAACACATCCCACGACGAATTGCATTCATCAACCTACTATCCATAACCTCGATGTACATCTCCGGAATGACGTAGTGCTCAACCAGAAGTCGCAGAACATCGTCGATTTTGCCCTGTTGGATCAAAACTCCTTGTTTGTGACTGCCCCTATTCTTCTTCCCCTTCCTCTCCCCAAAACAGAAAACCAACCGTCTGCCTGGGAGTCCACAACCCAACCGTCATGCTCATCGATTAAGACTATGTAAAGGAATTCTTCACCACCAACGACCGGATCCTCGTCTTCTGGCCGAACTCTAGCCACGCCAAGATCCTCGACTACAACTACGCTTGCATCGGATTTGCACCTTACGGCACCTACCTACGTGAAATCAGGAAATTCCTAACCACAGAGCTTCTATGCATCCAACATATCAAGGCCCTCACTCACGTCCAGATCTCCGAGATCCATATCCTCATCAGCGACCTATACTAGCAGAGTAGCGGCGGCGACAACGGAAATAATTATGATGATAAAGGCTCTATAGACGAATTGGTGGTGGTCGAGTTTGCCGGAGAATTGGGTGGTTGCTGCAATGGGTTGCTATGGAGGGGATGCGATGAAGAAGATAGAGAAGGGTCGGGTTTGAGTTGGGTTACAATTTGGTTTTTATGATGAGGCAGTTTTTATGACTTGGCGGATTGAGTTTTTTTGTGTGTGTTAAAAGTGGGTGACTAGATAATTGTGTTAGCCACGTAAGCAATTAATTGACGATATTAACGGAGTATAACGGAGATTAACAGCCAAGGATCAAATTTGGACTACTAAACTAATTTAAGTGACCATGAATGGAATACAATAATTTTAGTGGCAAATGTGAATTTTTTAGTAATTCTAGTGACCAAACTTGCAATTTACCCTTCTAAATATTAAATAATTTGTTTGGATATTAAGTATATGCGGTATTTGAGTTCGTAGTAAACCTATGGAGTGATTTCCAAATACATGTCTAGTGTATTACTTTTAAATTTCAAATACATATCACATCTGTCATAGAAAAAAGAATGAATGGATATTGTAGGATTCCCAAGAACTTCTTCGATTTCTTCCGGAAGGAGATGATTGTTCATCTCCTTCTCACCTTCCGTCAATACTCGGGACATTGAGGAATATCCAGAAGGGCATTTAGAGAATGAGTCTGATTTTATCTATGTTTGTTCCGTTTTAAGAAAGGAAGGGTCGCAAAGAATCGATCTTTCTTTCCGTTTTAGTTGGGGTAATTTGAAAATCCCCATAGCAATATACTGGACTTGTTTTAAAATTCCAAAAGTTCAGGTACTATAGTGTTAAAAAAATATAAGGGTACTAAAACCTAATTTTACCATAAAAAATTTTAGACATTGTTAAATAGTTCAAGTTATAAACGGTAAGAAAAAAAAATTGAGTACCAAAATGTATATTTTCAAAATTTTTAATATGTGTTCAAAATTATAAATTAAAACTAAAAATTCATAAAATCTTAAATACTAACAAATTAACAATGAGCATCCAAATAACGAATTTGAATTTTATATATTTTAAATCTAAGTATTTCAAATATTAAAATTTTAAATATATACATTTCAAACACATTGTATTTGAAATACAACTATTCAACGGATCACAGTTGCTGTTTAAAATTTTGTACTCATTTCAGTGTCTATCAATTTGGGACATTTCTTACACTACATTTCTTACATTGTATTAAGTGATCGAACGGGAATTACATCAATTATATTTACATACCGTTTGGTATAAATGAATTTCATAAGTTTTGAGTAATTCATTTTGAAATGAAATCCTTTTGTATATGCTATTTAAAAGAATTCATTTCCAATTCTAAATTTTGAATTCTACGAAATTGGAAATAGTTATAGCAATTCCAAGGAATTGAGATGTAATTCCAAATGAATTCCATATTTATCCTCATTTACTAATTATAATAGAATGACATATTTATCCTCATTTATTAATTAAATTACTTTCTCCTTATATTATTTGGCGCCAATTCATAGTGTAACGAATGTCGACAAAAAATTGATTGCAAAGCTAGGAGCATATGCTAGTTTTTTATATTTCTGCTTCGATTGTATTAGTACGTTGTGGAGCCACAACTAGAGTGTAGGGTTCATTGATGAAATATTAAAAAAGAACTATGAATAGAATAGAAACAAAAAAGCCGCACTTTTGATATTCTACGTTTGGAATCAAAGGCATTTTTAAAATAATGAATTTTCAATGTATTTTGTGTCTGGCGGAAATTATTAAGGGTGTAATTGGAAAGTTTTAACTTAATTCAATTCTAAACATATGTCAAACATGATTTGGAATTCACTTCATTTTATTTTGAAGATTTGAATATGACATACCAAATAGAGGAATTCATTTGACAATATATTTTACCTAGTCATTCCTTTTAAAATTAAATAAATTTTCCATTCATTTGGTACCAAACAGTCTATTAATCATAAAACAAAATCACCTAGAATTGTTAATTAATTTTGAGTTTAAATACTATCATCACTAAAATAGAATTTTACAAATGAATTTTATCACTAAGTTGGATAAGAGGTTTATCAATTGATAAGTTTTTGGTGATCTTAAACCTTCCTACAGTCTTGGTATGTTCATAGCATCATGATACGCTTTCTTACCATATGATATGCTCTTATTTAATACCATATGATATTGACTGCAAAAATGTCTCAATTTTTTTTGTTTTAAAAATATATCAAAATGAATATTATTTTAAAAAACAGAAATAATCTGATTTATCTATGTAAAAAAATTTAAATTCTGACTTAAAACGAGAGATAAATCGTTCATTAAAGATTATAGGGGATAAAATAAAAAGACTTTCCATGAGAGAGAGGGTTGTTGATGTCATGGTGATGTGAACGTGTTACTCATGGTTATGACGTTACTAACTTGATCCTCTCCCTATAATGATACTGTGGAAAAAAACTCTCATCTAATAACAGACCAAGCCAGATTACCAAATTAAGCAATTCAAGCAATTCTCTCATTCTCTCGGCAAACTTGCATTGCCGATGAACCATAGCATCCTAATCTATACTTGTAATCACACAAAGAATTTGCTATAATTGTCACAACCAACAAAATTATGAATGTACAATGTATTTTATAATTAATTAAACGGGATAAAGTGATACTTTAGTCTCTCATTCCACCATTAATTTCCCTTCCCATCAATAAAGCAAATAATCTTAGGGGTCATTGCGGAATGTGATTGTTGACGTGAGATTGTTACTATTAGGGGTGGCAGTTCGGTTGTCGGTTAGCGGCTAACCGGTTGGTTAGACCGATAAGCGTCGGTTAACGACTAACCGAAAACCAGCTGTATAAAGCCTCGGTCGGTGGCCGGAACGACTGGTAGGAGCGTCGACTAGCCGAGCAACCAAAATCGGCTAATCAGGCTAACCGGGGCTAACCGACCGTTGAAAACCCGCGCCTAAACGCTGCCGTTCTACCCTAAACGACCAAGTATTTATCCTAATGAAACTACCCCCAGCCCACCCCAAACCCTATCCTCCTCCTTCGTCGACCTCAACCCCTCCCTTCCCTCACCAGTCACCACCAGCAACCATCCCCCGCTGTCTCCACCATCCAATCCAGACGGCCAAACCATTGACGGCCCCCGATGAACGTCGTCTCCCGGCGACCCCCGCGACCTCGCGCGACACCCCAACAACCCTGCGCGATCCCCGACGACCCTCCCGGGATCCAACCCTGTGACCGCCGGCAACAACAACCACCTCAACGTCGGCCGCCAGCTCGCCAGTCCGCCATCTCCCTCCCTCGCCGGCCACCAACTCGCAAGTTGCCATCTCCCTCCCCCGCCGGTTCCATCAATCCCCCGCGGCTCAATCATCAACCACTGCCAGTCGTTCAGTCCGCCATCTCCCTGCCTTGTGACGACGCGACCCCTGCCAAGTCTGTGAATTGGAGGTTGATGGAAGGAAGATAAGATTGCTGGAATTGGAAGGAAGGTGAGAGAAGGAAGGATATAAGGTATTTAGGTTTATGTGGTGGCTGGTGGGTTTTAAAAAAATGGAAGGAGATAATATTGTGTAGGAGACAGAAGGAAGAAGATAAGGATTGTGTGGTGGAGGATATGTCTGGGTTTTTTTTAATTAGCTAAACGCTGACGTTTTAGAGGGAAGGGGTATTTTTTCCGGATATGTGGTTAATCGAGCCTAAAACCAAACACCGATCGGTCGGTATTCGTTATACTATATTTTTTTATTTTCAATCACAAAATATTTTTTTACGAGACAAATATTGTAACACTGTAACACTTTAATTCTTATGTTCATTACTTTTACAAAAATACCCTTAGCAAACCATTAACCATGATACAAATCAGATAAACTTGGAAAATAGAGAGAAACCATTCTTGAATATTCTTAATAAATTCCTTGAAATTTGCATAAGCCGAGATCATAAAAATCTTAAGAAAAGTGCATCGAGTCTCATTATCTGAAGGAGTAGGGTAACATAACTTGATAACGTCATCGCGATGGGAAGGGAGGTGGCCGCGTGCATAGTTAGTTAAGTGAGAATTAAAAATAACCTCATTATCTGAAGGAGTAGGATAACATAACTTGATAACGTCCTCGCAATGGGAAGGGAGATGGTCGCGTGCATGGTTAGTTAAGTGAGAATTAAAAATGCGATCTTGTTTACGTGCTTAACATGGTGAAACTTATACTTGCGTGAAATAATATTCCTTATAGTGGGAAGATACAGATAGGCTTACTTAAAACACGATTTGTTTTTCATTGCCTTAAAACATAACTTCTTGATGCAATGTTATGATGTACTTGATGAAACTTAAGAACTGAACATTAACAACTTATGAAGATACAGATAGGCTTACTTAAAACACGATTTGTTTTTCATTGCCTTAAAACATAACTTCTTGATGCAATGTTATGATGTACTTGATGAAACTTAAGAACTGAACATTAACAACTTATGTAAAAACTTATATGCGCGTAACTTAGCATAAACGTAAAGAATGGTCATAACTTAACATAAAACAATACTTGAAGTTAGATGAATTAAAGCACATATTAAATTCGTTAAAGTGGGTTACTAACTAGCCCCTCGAACCAATGCACCTTAATTATCAAAAGTTAATCGACTTGACCTAGCATTCAGTTTGTCCAAATCAATTTCCTTATCTGCACATCCCATCCACTTGCTACTGCATGTAGCCCTCTCCACGTTACTTTATGTTTCATGTATCCATTCCATAGGGTGAAAATTATTGTTGGTCACTAAACTTGCTCTATTAATTCATGTTTACCACTAAACTCGTTTTTAATTTAACTAAACCACTGAACTTAATATAAAAGATTGTCATCCATCACTTTTGTTCAAATATCACGGATGTCATCTTAACGACGCTAACAAAGCGTTAACGGGGATGACGTGGCGATACCTAATCTCTATTATTCCACTTAAGCAATTTCATTGCTTAATAAAACTCTACCCAAAGAAAGACAAAATCCCTAACCCTTAATTTCCCCCCGTCAATTAACCTCCAAACCTCTCGCCTGTTCATCTTCCCCATAAGCTTCCAAGTCGGACGAAATAACCATTGATCATCCTTGACCTCTGCACTGCAATGCCGCCAGACAAACCAACTAAAAGAAGCATAAGAAGTAAGCTTGATTATGGTAATAGATGGAGTTATATATTCTTAGGGTTTTGGTACCGGCAGTAAGAGCCTAAGAGGAGTGTGGACGAGGCCGGTGCGGTGCAGTCCGTAACTTGGCGTACTGGGCTGGCTTATATGGGTTTATGCATATGAAATTGAAATTGAAGGAGGGGTATGCTCTTAGTATTTGCTGTCTTTAGGGAGACACATAGCAGTAGCAGGTAGCAGTAGAGAATGGGATTTGCAGAATGTACATAAACCACTTTTAATCTTCTCTATGCCTTGCCTTTTTGTCTTTTTTCACATTTTTGTCTCTAGTAACAAGAGAAGGAAAAGCTAAAGAGAGATGGGTGGGTATGGGATTGAAACATGAGGCACGTAGGCGGGTGGGGTTTGCCACAAATCACTTTTAATTTTTTTTTATGTTCTTTTGTCTTCTTTTATACTTTTGTTTCTAGTAACAACAAGCTAATTATTGTTTTATGCAGGTGTCAACGACAATTATACTGAAAGTGGGAATATGACAAGAAACTCAAAGAAGCATACAATCAGAGATTTGGCAATTAATTTTGCAGAAGATGCATTATCTGAAAGCAGTGATGGGAGTTCTGATTTTGAGGTACATTTTGAAGACAGTGATTATGATTTGATGGATAAGGAAGATGATTTGATATATGATAATTATGTCGATGGAGAAGTGGAAGCTGGAAATGGATTTGATTTTCAATTGGAAGGTGCATCAAATCCGCAATCACCTATTGCTTATGATGATGATATTGCTTATGATGGTGACGGGGAGCTTACTCATGTGGTTGAGGATGGAAGTGAGATGAAAGATGGATTTCCTGAGTTCAATGCAGAAGTGAATATGAATGATCCAGTATTTTTCGAAGGTCTCAAGTTTAAATCCTTTGATGAATTCAAGGAGGCAGCAAAGCATTATGCAATAAGACATAAAAGGACATTCGGTTTAAGCATAATGACAAGTTGAGGGTCCATGCTGTTTGCCAAGCTGGTTGTCCATGGGAAATATGGGTCTCCTACATGTCTAGTGAGAAGACACCTCAAATCAAGACATGTCATATAAATCATAGTGAGCATTGCCAGAAAGTGTACAATATCAGATTCCTCACAACCAAGTGGATAGCACAGAAGTACCTAGAGAGGTTTAGAGTTGATCCTGCATGGTCTTGTCCCCTTCTAATCCAAACTGTCAAGGAAGATTTGATGCTAACCATGAGCATGCCTAAAGCTAAAAGGTGTAGACGTGAGGCTTGGGTACTATTAGGTGGGCAAGAGAAAGATCAATACGAGAAATTATATGATTATGCAAGTGAGATTCAAAGGACAAACCCAGGATCCACACTGATCATTGAGCAGATTGGAGGTATTTTTGAGAGGATGTACATGTGCTTGCTAGGATGCAAAGATGGATTCAAGGCAGGATGCAGAAGGTTCATATCCATCGATGGTTGTTTTATCAAAACCGATATTGGGGGACAATTACTAATAGCTATTGGTGTTGATCCTAATGATTGCATTTTCCCCATTGCATTTGCCTTGGTGAAGAAAGAAAACAGAGATAATTGGCAATGGTTTATTGGAAACTTGGTTGAAGATTTTGAAGTGGAAAATAGTCCCAGATGGTGCTTTATGTCTGATCGTCAAAAGGTGATTAAGATTAATTATTATTAATAACTTAGATGTTATCCTTCAGGTTTGATGTCTTATGTTCTTTCTAATATTTGAATTTACAATCACTTGTAGGGGCTAACTGCAGCCTTAAATGATGAGTTATTCGATGTGGAGCATCGATTTTGTGTACGCCACATGTACACAAACTTTCGGAAAGATGTTTCCAGTGACTTGTTACTGAAAAACTTGATCTGGAAGGCAGCACGAGCTACTACTACAAGTGAATTCAAGAGGTGGATGCAAGAGATTGGGAGGAAAAGTGAGAAGGCAAAGAATTGGTTGCATGAGAGACCTTTTAGAGAGTGGTCAAGAAGCTATTTTCAAGTTCTATGTGGGTGTGACATGCTTCTCAACAATCTCTGTAAGTCTTTCAATCGTTGCCTACTAGATGCAAGGTGTCAACCCATTATCTCCATGTTTGAGGCCATTAGATGCATACCAATGAGACGTATGCATGTGAAAAACAAAGTTGGTGGTAAAATGACTGGTCGAATTTGTCCCAAAATACAAACAAAATTGGAAAAGCTGAAAGATGAAGCAACAAAAGGTTGTACATCTACTTATGATGGAGAGAATTAGTACCAAGTTAGGTCCTTTGATGGACAAGTAGTGGTGAACCTTGCTGAAAAGACTTGTGCATGCAGAAAATGGCAGCTTTCTGATATTCCTTGTAAGCATGCTATATGTGCAATTTGGGAGGCAGACGAACATCCAGAAGATTATGCGGGTAGTTGGTATACCGTTGATACCTATAAAGAAGTTTATAACCATTTTGTCCATCCTACCAATAGTAGTGATATGTGGGAAGATAGTGATAGGGATCCCAATCAAACACCTCCTATAACTAAGGAAATAAAGATGAAGAAGGGAAGAAAGCCTAAATAAAGGAGGAAGGAGCGTGCTGAGTTGGAAAACACAAATAAGAATGGAAAGCATAGACTGAGCATGAATTGTTCCATATTTGAAAATACATATTCGAAAATACATCATTATTGTGTACTAAGAAATTTGAATGTTAATGTTTCATATATTATTGTAGATTCAACGTAAAAAATGGAGTACAACAAGGTATGACCCAATCTTGCTTTCAAGCATCACATGTGTCTATCACAATCCCAATGCCTTTTGTCTAGATGATGTATGTTTAGAGAATGTTCTTTAAATGATGTTTGTTTGTTTTTTGTGATAGGAGAGTGACATTTTATTTCAGAGCTAGGAGGCTTTTTGGACAGATTTCAACGCTTGGATATGGTCTCGATTGAACTTTGAGTTGAAGTCACGAATTCTATTTCAAGTGATGCCCCAGATTCTCCACGTTTTAGTACCCGAAGTTCTACTGCAAAAAGTTTTAGACTTGATGTGTGTGATTTCATATTGGAAAATTGAAGCGACAGATTTGACTTATAATTTCATGAACGAGTGTCTGCATAATATTATATGGTTCCTTTTATTTATTTTTTCCCCCACTGATTGATGAAAGAAAGAAGAATTGTGCTCCACTAAACATGTCC